CGCCCCCAGGTGAAGTCGGTGAGCCACGACCTGGAGCAGCTGAACCGCCTGCTGCACATGGTGAAGAGCCTGGTGCAGAACCCCTTCCTGTACCTGGGCTCCTACGTGCGCAGCCTGGTGTCCAGCATCATGTACTGCATCCTGGAGCCCCTGGCCGCCTCCATCAACCCCCTCAACGACCACTGGACCCTGCGCGACTACGCCGCCCTGCTGCTCAGCCACATCTTCTGGTAACTGCGCCCGGCGTGGTGGGAGTGGGGTGGGCGCTTTTTCCGGGATTTCCAGTGCTTGGCTGCTGTGGCCTCGGCGTTCCCAGTTCGCTCCTGGACTTTCCGGAGTCTCTAATCCCGCTGTTGATTCACCTCGACGGCCTTGTTCCGATGCCTCTCTCCGTCCGCGTGGCCCTCTTGTCCGTCGCGACCCCCCTCCCTCCTCTCTTCCTCACCCCCCTCCCTCCTCTCTTCCTCACCCCCTTCCTCACCCCCCTCCCTCCCTCCTCTCTTCCTCACCCCCCTCCCTCCTCTCTTCCTCACCGGGCAGCGGGGGGCTCCGTGCCCCCCCCCCTCCTCCCCTCTCCCCCTGTCTGAGTAGAGAGGAGGCCCACCCGGCCCGTCGAATAGAGCAGGTCCCCCCTCGCCGAGGATCGGCTCCAGGTGTTCCTCCGGAGAACGCCGGGGTCGCGGCTTCCACAGCGGGGCCGGGCGGCTTGTTCCACGCCCCCGCCACCCCTTTGTGTAAAGTAGTGCCTCCTTTCCCCATCATCCTGCTGTGCTTGAAGAGCATGGCCGGGGCAGCTCATGACAGACACCCACGGCCAAGCCCCTAACCTGTCCCCTAACCTGTCTCCCTGTCTCCCTGTCTCCCTGTCTCCCTGTCTCCCTGTCTCCGCGGACCCCCGCGCAGGACCCACGGTGACCTGGTGAGCGGGCTGTACCACCAGATCCTGCTGTCCCTGCAGAAGGTGCTGTCGGACCCCGTGCGGCCCCTGTGCTCCCACTACGGCGCCGTGGTGGGCCTGCACGCCCTGGGCTGGAAGGTAGGCGCCGGGGCCGTCCGAGCCGAGCCCCCCT